ACAAATAATTGGGCGCAATTGCATAAAAGGTATGGCGCACATAAAAACGCATGATCATTCATATGTTGCACAGACAAATGAAGTCCGGGGGTTACGAAAAGGTTAAAAGCTGACTGTTCGTCAATACCTACACCCACTTGTGTTACGACCTGACCTGTGCCCACTTGTGTTACGACCTGACGATATCTGCGCCGTGTTGTTGGCATCGGCGCCCAGCTGTGTGCCTGCGCCCACTTGTGTTACGACCTGACGTGAATGGTGAAACAAAATTATGGCACCTGTCAGATTGGATCAAAGAAAACTTGCATCAAACAGTTTTTGGAGGTTCTTATCCGCAGAGGCGCAGCACCGTTGGTTCGGCATCAAAGGCCATCCATAGAAGATTGGGTTGTGGAAAGCAAGAGGGCATGTTCTAAATCCCCCATCTGCTCAGCAACTCAACCCAATGCAGCATAGCATGCCATTAGTGAGGAGGGACTAGCCAGATGATGAAATTATCACACCTGTCTCAAGCCATGTTTGCTTGTTTGCAATATAAGGCGAGAAAACTTCACCTTGAGATAAGAGCAAAGCCAGCAATTGGGTTGCATCACCAAGCATTTTCGTAGGTGGAGAGCAGATGTTCTAAATCCCCCAATGCAGCACAGGGACTAGCAGAGGACGAAAATATCACACCTGTCAAAGCATGCTCAGTTGTTTGCAATGTAAGGAGAGAAAACTACACCTTGGGTTAAATTTCCTTGAGACGAGCAATGCCAGCAATTGGGGCACAGCCATAGTGAGATGCTAGCCAGATGACGAGATTATCACACCTATCAAAAGCCATGTTGGGCTGTTTGCAATGTAAGGAGAGAATCCTTCACCTTGGAATAATTCTCCTTGAGACGAGCAATGCCAGCAATTGGGTTGCGTCACCAAGCATTATCGTAAGCGGAGAGTGGATGTTCTAAATCCCCCAATGCAGTACAGGGACTAGCAGAGGACGAAAATATCACACCTGTCAAAAGCCATGCTCGGTTGTTTGCAATTTAAGGAGAGAAAACTTCACCTTGGCCCTTGGGATAGATTTACTTGAGACGAGCCATGCAACAAGCATCGGCCCCGATGAGAAGAATAGGATCCGTCACAAAGCGTCCTCATAAGCAGAGAGGGCATGTTCTAAATCCCCCATCTGCGCCACAACTCAATCTAATGCAGCATTAGTGAGGGACTAGCAAGATGACGAACTTATCACACCTTTCAACAGGACCAGTAGCGGCGAGGGGCAGAAAGATACCAGGGGCGAGGGAGAGGGACAAAAGTGAGCTAAACAAGGTGACTGGCCGCTGGTTGAGATAGTCATCAACAGAGTTCGGCGGACCAAGTCGCAGTGTCGAGCGAGGGACAGAAAGATACTAAGAGCGAAGGAGAGGGGCCAAAGTGAGCTCATCAAGGTGACTGCTGGTTGAGATAGTTATCAACAGATTGCGGCACTCCAGGGCCGCACAAATTATATCATGCTCAGTGCGTTGTCGTAAGGCGGGATACATCACTCACCGAGTGCGTTGTTGTAAGGCGGGATACATGATCTCTGCACAGATAGAGGCATGCCCTGGCGCATCAGATAGCATGCCCTGGCGCATCAGATATTGCCTTTTTGGGGGGACCGGCGTCAGGTACTGATATCCAGATGAGGTCACGTTTCAAAGGTCCTCACCTGAATATGGTCAAGGGCTCATCAGGATTGGCACTCTTTGCCAGGCACGTGTAATCCTTGAGGTCTTTGCAATTTGTTTGTGCTGCCTTGCCCCCTTTGCCCTCTCGATGATAATTTGTGAGCCCACTCCCACCGAACATTCCTGTGACTCCAGACATGCCTTTGTTGCAGACTCGCCGGCCACGGCCCCCAACTCCAGGACGAAAACCGTTCTCTTCAGAGGAGTCGGCGATTCTCAGACAATACCTAGAAGATTTTTGTGTCAAAACGAAGGAAGAAAGAAAGAAGCTGCTGATGTATGAGGTATACAGACTCATGAAGGCCAAGGCACCCCCCCTGCTTACAGAGGAGCAGTGGAAGGAGAGGAAGACGGTGGGTGCTAGCTAGTCATACTGCTGCTCATTTGACACTTTTGCCATAGAAGATCAAAGAGTGGTTTCAAAACCATGGAAGACGCATCAGGATGCCGAAGTTTGGATATGTCAAACTCATTTCCACCAGATATGTAGTTGCGCACCTGCGCCAGGAGCAAATACATGAGGTCGTGACTCGGCTCGCAAAGGGCGTGCCACCTGGGTCAAGAGTGTTTCTTGCTAAATACCAACAAGGCCTAAAGGAAGTAATGGGTGGTCTCACAGACACTGAGAAAGAGGAGTATAAAGGCTTGGCAGAGGAATGGATGAATGCCGTACCGCCCCCTGACGTCCAAAGAAAGTGAGCGGTCCAAATCATGCCTTTCAGCACCGTCTCACCTTGACCACCAAACAGACTCAATTCGAAACATGGCCTGGGCATGATGAGAGAAATGGATAAAGTCAAGCAATACCAGCTAGGAGTTTTCAGCTGGAGTCTGGTGGGCGACATAGATGAAAATGGACAACATAGGAGCGCTTGGTTGGACCATAATGCCAATTTTGGTCCTGAGGGCCTCCGAGAGTTCAGAGATATGTTTCCTGAGGCTGTAGGTAACATTCTGGAAGCCTGGGTCCAGTATTTGAACTACATTCAAGGTAAGATGATTATGTTGTCACGCCCTTGATCAGTGAAGTATTGAACTTCAAACTGCAGAATTTCAGCAGGGGCCTTCAGATTCACCGGCGCAACATTGCTATACCAGGCTGAGGCAGAAACGGAAGGCGCCGCATTTTGACCTCGATGGCGGCCTACCAGTGCTTCCTCTTGCGCCCGAGGATAGAGCTGAATCTGGCGATCTACTTAAATCCCTCATCAGAGAATTCATGACCATTCATTATCATTTGGCTTCAGGCAAGCCATCGGTGGTTGTTCCCTGGTTTTGTTTAGATGAGCACAGGAACACGTTGTGGGAGAGTGAGATGTGGCCTGAGGATGTCAAGATCCGTGATCCCAGCAAATTAACGGTTCCATGCTGCAAGAAAATACTTCAATTGTGGAGAGGCCGACAGCAGACTGGTGGGGCAAGTCACACGTTTCGTTTTTCTTTTTTCATAGAAGATAAGAAACTGTCCCCTGCCCTGCATGACTTGTCTCAACAAGGCAGTACCCCTGCGCCCAGTCTAAGGAATATTGGTTCTGCGGCGGCTGTTGCCACTCCGGCGCCCAATGGGCGCGTTTCCTCAAATACTTCCTCTACGACGCGACCATCGTCCACCAGGCCTGGCCCGACCATTTCCACTGCAGACCCCCACATGGATCCTATTGGTCCAACACCATCTGGGACATTGATAGGTAGCCCAGATCAGCCACTGGATCCAGCAATGGTCCCAAATGCGGCCTTAATGACAACAGCGATGGGCACCCCTGCGGCCAGTACAAAGAATATGGGTGCTGTGGCGGCTCTTGCCACTGCTGCAGCCAATGGGCGCGCTTCTCCAAATGCTTCCTCTGGGGCGCATCCAGCTCATTTCACGTCGCCTATGTTAATGGACCAAGGTCTCCCCGATGATCCTGAATCAAGTGAAGACTATACCACTGATCCCACAACTGAAGATGAGACAGTCAAACGGCGCAAGGGTCCACAAAAGACGACCAGAAATTTGGCATTGGAAGATGCCATGGCCAGAAATTCAGGGGAAGACGCCGTAGACGGCGCCGCGCCAATCCTGGCTCAAAAGGCTCGCCCCAAACCCAAACGAATCACCAAGCAGCATCGGCGCCAAGGTCCAACCTCTGCTGAAGAGCAGGACGAAGCTGCCACAGCAATCCTGCCCCCAAAGGCTCGCCCCAAACCCAAACGAACCAGCAAGCAGCTTCAGCGACGAGGTCCAACGTCTGCTGAAGAGCAAGGAAACATTGACAGGCTGGAAGATGCCGCAGACCCAAATTCAAGAGTCGCGGCGCCAAACCTGCTCCCAAAGCCTTGCCCCAAACCCAAACCAATCACCAAGCAGCCTCCTTGCCAAGATCCGGCCTCTGTTGAAGAGCAAAGAAACATTGAAGATGCATTGTTTATCCGAAAGTCCACAAGACGCCGACAAGAAAAGGTCAGGGAGGCACCACCTGCACAACTACGTTTGGAAAAAGATGCGTTGAAACGAAAGGGCGCCAAAAGGGGCGCCAATGACATTACAAATGCACCGAGTAGAAACTGAAAGATATGTTTCAGTGAAAGGGCACCAATGACATTACAAATGCAGAGTACTTAAGTGCAATTGTGTTGTGCCGAATCCCAAACAAGTCATTGCATGAAAGGTCTGCCTTTTGTATTGCAAGGTGACTTGGCTTAGTGGTTAAGGTGGGAGGTGTACTTAGTGTATATAAGTATGCCCTGGGTTTGAATCCCAACAAGTCATTGCATGGCGACTACCTGGTTTTTTTCAAGTTCAATTGTGTTGTGCCAAGTGCCATGTCTGGGCCCAGATTGTGATGGCTGGAGACTGGGTAGTCAACATGTCAATGGAGAATTTCTTAGTAACTGGTTACGTTTAAATGACAGGGGCGCCGAACAAAAAGGGCGCCAATGACATTCGAAGGATAGTTGAAACGACAGGGGCGCCAAAACAACTTAGGCGCACCCATGACATGGCTAAGTGAAAGATCTCAAGTAGAAACAACTGTTCAAGACTTCGATTCAATGTTCAGTATAAAAACAAATGATTTAGTTGTCATCTTGACCCTCTCCCTTGGGCACCACAGCACGAATACTCTTCCGAGCATCCTGAAGCTCCAACTCCGCGAGTTCCAGGCCCCTGAGGTGCATTTCAAGTTGGTACAACTCCTCGT